AATTTTTTTTTAAATCCTAACTTGTTAATTCGTCTAAGCATAATTCATTTCAACTTTTATATTAGGGTAGTAGGTAAACCTCTTTTTCATATTCACAACCGATAATATTAGATTTCATTAGAAAATTAAGAGAAACTGTTTCATGATTAAAGCATTTTTTAAAAGGAATGTCTGGAAATGAAAAGCTTTTTTATCTCTTAGCTTTCTTAATAAGAGATATGGAGCGATACAATAGAAAAGCATATTGAAAGGTTTTGAAGAAGTGGAAAACAGAATTAGAAGAATTCTTTAAGCTTGACCAGATGATGGATGATATATAATATTTTTGCTGCATACTTTCAAATCTTGCACTTTTTTCTGGCGTGTTTGTTGCTACGGCATTGAATACTGATGTGGATAATAAGAAAACGAAAAAATTTATGCGGTTTATGAGTTTTTAAAAATTACCCTTCCAGTGAGCATTTGGCGGTTAATCTTACAATCAACAGTTGCTTGTATTCATCTTTTTCATAAAACTCATGGATGTTATAATCAGTAAATATCCATTCCTACGCTCCATGCATTAATTTCATTATAGAAAATCCATTCCATTAAATATTCACATGGTTCTGGAAACTTCCTGCCAAATTATGCCCAATAGAAATATTGACAAAGTAAATAATAGAAGGAACACTAATGAGAAAGTGAGGACGGAAAAAAGAGACAAGGGATATGACCAGTATACTTTAGTATACTTTACAGTGCTACCACTCGGACCCTTATTATTTTCGACTTTCATTGTTCCAATTTTAAACGAAAATGTGAACTAGAAGTTGTAGAATTCTTCGTTTATCCCGCTTTATAAATTTATATAGTACTTTTATTAAATACTTCTAAGCTTACTAATTTTTATCAAAAATCCTCAGTCTATTTGCTTCTAATCGTAGTAGCTCAAATCAGTATTAATCATTTCGTTAATCGAATATTTATAACCTTTGTATAATTCAAAATATTTTGGAAATAGCAACGAATGAGTCAGAGTTTAAATATGATTGAATATATGTTCCTGCCTTCATGTATGATTTAGATAACAATTTATATCTTTTGGTAACAAACCACTGCTACGTATTAATCATAGTAGTTAGATAGTGCTAACTTCTTTATATAGCCAATGCAGATATGAATTGTAAGAATAATTGCATACTACCATTTGTGAGTTATTTAAATCTAGAATATCAGTTTGTTTAATGAACTCGATAGTATAAATGTCATGAGTTTTGAAAATTTTAACATAGTAAACCCCCTAATAGAGACTCGAATACATACTTGTTTATTAAAGCTTTTGCACGTCAGGACATATAGCTCGAATGTATAACTGTTTGTTTGAATACTTAATCATCTAGTGCTCCCTGATAAAAAGCACAGATTACTTGGGTACTTAGAGAACTTATTTTCCAAAGAGATTTTCTTTGTATTTGGCCAAAAAAAAAAAAATTATGCACTTTTTTTACTAATTATTTGATGCAACTTCTAGCGCTATATGAAGTCAAACGATCCGGAGGACGTTGAATTATTTGATATAATCTCAGAAATGCTTACATATGAACCATCGCAACGAATAACGCTGGGTTCTGCATTAGATCATCGGTATTTCAAACGTTTAGCACCACATCTTAGGTAAAAATTCTCTTTTTTCATATTTAAATCAAGTCGAAACAAAAATTGTAGTGGTTAGGAAAATTATTGTCTTATAAAGAAAGTTAAGAGCTGTGAGTTGCTTATCTATCCTAGCTGTAGAATTATTATTCTTCAAAAGCTTCAATAGGAGAATAATTTTGTGGAGTGTAGGATGAGTTTTGTTTTAGACTTATTGAATTCTAATGGCTTTTATAGATTTTTTTTGTGTTCAAAAATACTCCATTCCGGTTTCATATCTCAAGATTAGATTTGCTAATTGGTTCATGTCGGATTTTTTGAAAATTTTCTAATCATTTATTTATTTATTTACTTTATTTCAACTAATTAAGACTACACGAAAGTGGTGCTTCATCGAACGGGTCATCCACATCATCAGCAGCGGCGACAACTGCTGCAGCAGCGGTAGTATCAGCCCAAGCAATAGTAATATCTGGTGCGAGTGATGGAAATGGTGAAGAACGATAGGTCCAGCAACAATACATTAGTTCGGACATTCTTGTTATTAGTTTGTTAGCGATAGATACACCGTAATTGGTGTATTTTCTTTGAAATTTTCTCTGATTTTTTGAAAATTATTAGGAGAATTTGGAAAGAGATAAGAAAAAAAATTCCAGACTTTCGAGATAATGTCGAAAGATATCAGTAATTCTGAGGATTTCCAAAATGCAAATAGCAAGATATGGATGAAAGTGTTCCAATTAGGATAATTGACTAAGGACGTTATTATCGTAAATCCCAATATATTTATTGATAAGTTGTTCACTTTTTATTGTTTTGATTATCTCTTGTTTATATGTAAGGAAAGCTTGTCCTTTTGTGTTGTTATTATTCAACTAGTGATTTGTATGCTCTGAAGTTTTGATAATTGTTGTGATGAAACTTCTTCCTACATAGCACTATCATGTTTGTTGAACATGCCCTAATATCCGTGCATAACTTTAAATACGGTTCTCAGTTTATAAATTTTTCAGTCAATTTTAGAAGAGCATTTTTCGAAATTATACTTAATGAGTAACTCTGTGGTGTCATTATCATTATATAAAGTTATCAATTTTCTCATTAAATTTGAAAATTTCAATTTTACGTGGCCGCCTGTAAACTGCTGGTTTTTTTCTCATCATTTCTGTATCTGGAATTATGCCCGAAACGGTGATACACAGGTTACTGGAAGAAGCTGTTGTGAAATATTGTTTTAGTTCAAAAATTGTGACATAATTTATAAAATTCTTTTTATCTTCCAATCTTTCTAGAAAGTTGGTTTCAGTTCTTCAGTTCGTAATGTAATATCCTTTTTTGAAACTTTGCTCAGGCATTTAGTTAATTGTACCACGTGTTCCGCTTTGTTTATTTTTCTTACCCTTCGTTGTTGAAGAAAGTTGCTTCCACTGTGTCCCTTTTCCTTTTTTCTGCTTATATGCTCACGGGAAAAGTATCTAAATGAAGCGTACGAAATTTAAGTGATACATTCGAATATATTGCAAGATAACATTCTGTCTTAAAGGGATTAGGAGGGGTTCTTCCAGTAGGAAGCACCTTTCGGTTGGTGCTTATAGAGGAGCCTGGTTAGGGTTCCTCTATAAGGTTAGGGACAAAATACTGATTGAGAAAATGAATCCTTGATTCAAACTAAATTTAAAACCTAAATTTCATAATTGAACTTGTTACTAGGATTTGACACAATTTGTTCCAAATGTCAGTCTGACTCCAATTGGAAGGCGAATCTTCATTTGAATTGTATTATCACTCGAAAATGATTGTTTCTAATTTTTACTTTTCATTTTATTTTAGAGTTTCAATCCTTGTTTTTAATTCAACGAAGATTTAGAATATTGTATTCTAGTAAATTAAACGTTTCTCTTCCTAAATTATACCATTTTTTCACCTTACATGTATTTTTTATGGTGCCGCAAAAATTGTTCAGGATATATATTCGTGGAGTGTAACGAAAAATTTTTCTTGACAGTTTCCAAATTGTTAAAACACTGTGAAAATATTAAACTGTTTTTATTATTGTAGACGTGCAAAAACTCTAAATGATATGTTGCGATTTTTGCTCCTAAAAGCTAAAACGAAGAGGGCGCAAAATTCGCATAATATTGTTAAGTTAGCGATTTAAGTTGATTGGTTGTTAACTGTTGTTTGTAACTCAACTGTTTGCGGGGTTATTTTTGAGTGAGAACTGTTTGAATTGATTGGGTTATGCTTTCAAGTTAAAGTTAATTATTAGATTATTGATTTTATTCGTTTGGTTTGTCGTGGTCTAAGTCTCGTTTGGTTTATTTTTTATTGTCATTCTTTTGTTTAAGATGTCTGATCGGAAATTATTAGAGATTGTATAAAAACGGAAATATTTACAAATTGACTTTTGCCGTATTATGTCATGACAAACGTCTTAGTAATTGTGTCGTTTTTAAAATTAAGTGTTTCAAAAAGAACTAATGCACAGTTTCCTCCCTTGAATATATTTCCAGCCTGTTACATTGCCGGTTGTAATGGTTGGCAAGATTCCAGTCGCATCTTTAGCACTAATGAACCAGGAATACGCTTAAGGACGTTACACTCGTGAACCGTACACTTGTGGGGGTTGTAGCGGTGTCTCCGAGTTCTTAACAACTGAGATGAGATTTAACAATTTCATCGTATTCGCGTGGTTGCAGTAGGATGAGTCGCTTTATTTAGTGAGTAAACGTGCGTCATCCCTTGATCTCACTTTGTTTGGGTGTTAGTTGATTGGTTCATTCTTCCTATCACATTATTTGTTCTGTTCTCGATGTTGTTGACGTTGATCTTCATTTAACATTAGTATTTCAGTTGTAACATAATTACCATGACATTTTTTAATAAATTTGATGTAAGTGACAAATGTTGTCATCATTCAAATTTAATCAATCATAGTTGATTCTTGGCGTTGTTTTTCTATGATCTTTTTTTAGAACCAAGAATGTATAAGCCATTTAATTCATTGGTGTTTATTGAGTTTGAATGTGACAATGGAATGACAGGATTAAGAAATTTTATACCCATACTAAACACTCTTTATATCTAATTTTTGACTATCCATTAAAGGAAAATGTACTTTTTTTTTCTCATAATCACACCCTTAAAGTGGCTATACTTAGGCTGCGAAGTACAATTTCAAAGATTAATTGTAAAGGAATTGGTGGTCATGTCGAAGTGATTTAGAGGTGCTGTAGTGCTTTGAAAAACTGTGGATAATGAGGAGGTTAAAAGGTTGAGGTCTAAAACGGCGTAAAGGAGCTTCTTTTATGACTGTGTCTTTCCATATAACTTGTCACATGTATACTTCATATTTTAGTGCAGAAATGACAGAAGTACTTTGTGGCAGTACCGATATTGGTTGTGGTGATGTATTTGATTTCTCAAACTGTGCCCGAAATATGGCCTTAGAATCAATGGGTGTCAAAGCACCAGTGATGAAAAGTACTGGTACAACTATTGTTGCAACTACTTACAAGGTCTTAATTTTATCTTTCTTTGCGTTTCTTATGAATGGAGAGAGTGGAGATTACAGTAAATTGAATGTGGTGATTAAATTGTCCATATTTTTACTGTGTACGGGTCACCCATTTTATGCAGCTTAGCTAACACTAAGTATCATTTGTAAAAGCTATTAAAGATTTGCTTCTTTATTCCCAAAAATACATGTAACTTTACATGTTGATTTGGTCATTCCTTTGCAGGACGGCCTGGTAATGGGTGCTGATTCACGCGCAACTGCTGGTAACATCATTGCTGACAAACATTGCGAAAAAGTGCATAAACTTACGGATTCAATTTATGCGTGCGGTGCTGGTACTGCTGCTGATTTAAATCAGGTTGGTATCGAATATATTAATTTTTTGTTTTTTTTTGATACTGAGTCTTTATTGTGATACTGAATTACCACTGCTTAGCAAAGTATAGCAAAATATATTTCTACGTTAATCGAAGATACTGGGAATATGAACCATGGACGAATTAAACGGGTCAATTTAACGCAAACTGTGTTCCAAAAAACTCTATAAATAGACTGTGTCCGACCTTTAGTCAAATTACAATTGTGGAAGTGTAGAACTGAATAACGGGTAAGCTTATATGTAATGTATGTATCTTGGCTAGCAGTATGTCCTCAAAACTTGTTAATTCTGAGTTAGAGCCTATTTGCAGGTAACCAAAATGTTATCTGCACAATTGCGACTTCTAGAATTGAACACCGGGAAGAAGGCACGAGTGGTTACGGCACTCCGGCGAGCCAAACAACATTTGTTTTCATATATGGGTCATGTTGGAGCATATCTGTTGATTGGTGGTGTTGATCCTACTGGACCACACTTATATCAGGTATGTTTGACTCCTGCTTGCTCCACAGTTTTGTTTCATTTACGTAGTTTATTGCAGTATTGTTTTAAGATTCTATTCTGTCATTTCTCTTAGCTTTGCTAACTCCTTTGGTCAAAGGAACAAACTGATTCTTCTATGTGATTGTAGAAATTAGGTAAAAAAGCTCAACAATGCTATCTCATATAATATTAGATCAAGGGCATAATAGTGAAAGCCGAAATGGTATTAGATTTAATGGAAGAATTAATATTTCAGTGCTCAGCAAATGGTTACACACAAAGTAAACCTTTTGCTTCCGAAGGCTCAGGTAGTTATGCTGCGACAACCATTCTAGAGCGAGATTTCAAAACCAACATGACAGTAAATTTTTTGTCATTTGGTTAAGAAATGATTTTTTTTCATCCCATAGATCCTTAGTGCAGTATGTCGTCATACTAAGATATTGTACAACTTATTGCAGCGTTATATCTTCTATTCACTTGCAGATCATAGATTTTTTAGCTTCTAATTCACATTTTATTGATATTGCTCCCTATTTTCGTTGATGAGGCACTCACTGATTATTCGGCGCTACTAAGATGATTTTCTGATAATTGAAAGTTCACATTATGAGTGCTCTGTGCTTTATTTAGCAAGAAGAAGCCGTTCTTCTGGTACGCCATGCTCTAGAGGCTGGTATGCATGGTGATAATGCTTCCGGCAATTCTTTAAATTTTGTGATTATAACACCGGAATCTACAGTATTCAAGGTAACTTTCTTATGGATTTATAAACCTCTAAAAATTGAATGTCAGTTATGTTCATAGTAAATTTCGTTCTCCGTTCTCAGGGCAACTCCAACTTTTGCTAACTTTCAGAACTTCTCTTAGTTAGTGGCTTTCATGGTAAATGGTGGGCTCTCATTCTACTTAATCCATTAATCCTAAATTTCGTTAAAGATGGCATATGCATGGGGCCAAGAATTGCATTACTTACTCGTTTCTGCCTTATTATCTCTGGATGGGATGATCTGAACATATTTGCTGGCAGTTTGCCGTCTTCGCAAAATCAGAAGTTGTCTTAGCGGCTATCGTGTCATTTTAACCCATCAATTACCTATAACATGGTTTGTGGATTATTGCAGTAGATGAGATTTTTCAGGGTCCTGTAGTTCCACATTTTTGTGTGCGACCAGAGCCCGTTGAGCTGGACTATAAATTCAAGCTTGGCTCTACCAATGTTCTGAAGCAAAAAGAAATTAAGTACGATATCGTTGAAAGTATGGACATTTCTCACTGATGTATTATCATTTAGTACAATATTTTTCTAGATTATTTGTTATTATGGAGCTTTTTTTATCCTTCTGGGTTACAATGGTTTCTAATAAGAAAACGAAATTTCACTTGTTGTATAAAAATATTTAAAAAAAAAGGGTCGTGATGTCATTCTGACAAAAGGTAACTTTCATTTTAATGTTCCACAAGTGTAGGGGACTGTACTTGCTTCATCAATGTCCATATTATGACTATTTGTATTTCCTAAAACATTCCAAATCATTCTTTCGCTGGCAGCAAAAACAACTGATTAGTAATTTCTCACCTCTTTTTTAATATATTAATATTTTGGATGTGGTTTGGATTCAAAATTTCGACACATTGACTTTCTTCGATCTTAAATTTTAACTAAATGCAAAATATTTTTAATTTTCCCACATAGCATTCTCCATGATTGCTGAAAAAGTTATACAGTAAATTAGTCCTGGCAAAAAAAAAAAAAAAAAAAAAAGAAAAAAAACGTAAGTAGCAGATTTTCGCAAAAAATGAACTGCTTACAAAGGAAATCCTTGAAATTCTGGTTGTAGTCACCGGTGAAAGTTGGTTTAAACTTGGAGCACAGAGAGAAATTATCAGGTGGAATTCATCTTGGCAATGAGTAGCCGCTGATAAGTACGTTATTATAAAGGGAAATATTTCGGTTGTACTGCTGGACAGATTTTAAGAGTTGTATTTCAAAAAAACAAACAAACAGTCGACCGAATTATGAAATAAAAGTTCTTGGAGTATAGCTACCTCTCAGAAATTGCTGGAGTGCTATCTCCTTGCCTCTGCGCGCCTTAATGATTCATTACATTGATTGATTTTCAAGCGATTAAATTTTTATTTTAAATGCATCTTAGTAAATTTATTGGCGTCAGAATAGGAGTTATAAATAAATTAATATTAAATGCCAAATGACTTTTATGAGGATGAAGGACAGGGATGGCAACTCAGCTTTTTGAAATGTTGTTCGTGTGATTGAATTCTAATTCTACAGGTGAGGCAGAAAATGTAAGTAATATAACTACAGTTGAAAGGACTGATATGAGGTGTAGAAGATTTCAGAAGTCTCTACCCACAGTATGCTTTAAGCGAGAAAAAGTAAGAGGTGCATGTTGTCAATCTGGAAAATAAAAGAAATTGGGCTGACAGGCATGGAAACCGGTACAAGCACGGTGGACCGTAATAGGATATCTACGATAGACCACTACTGACACCCGAAGTTAAGTTCCGGATGGCAAAATTGAGCACATAAGCATATAATGTTCCATCAGGGGCATCTGCATATAAAACACAGAAGTAGCTGAAAATTCAATATAAAAATGAATGAAAATCAAACAACCATATCAATCAATATATAAAGAAAGATAATCATAGCGGCCATTTTCTGAGAGTAATGCTATCTAAATTTTACACGACTTCTGATGAGTGAAAAACTATTTTCACTGCTCAATATTTATTTTTATTCGCAGTAACTTTCGATGATCCAACCATTCTCTTTTGTAAGTTTCTGAAAGTGTTTAAATTTTTTTGATCAAAGTAACTATATTCATTAAATTCATTAGATCTTTTTTCCTTCAGATATGTATTATATATTTCAGCAGTATGCATGCATGCGCATCACACAACAGGTTTAATTCAAAAAGAAGTGTTGATCGGATAATGAAACAGAATAGTAATTATTTCGAGTGTTAACTTGTTTTTGATAATTGTTGATAAAGAACGACGAAAGTAGCACATTTCGTTTAAATGGCTTGATTTGATCTCGTTATAACTCGAATGGCTTCCTTCCGAGTGACACGTCTGTCTCGTTATAACTGAAATGACTTCCTGTTGAGTGACATGTCTCTTTATAACTTGAATGACTTCCTTTTGAATGGCAAAGTCACTTTGATTATATAAATTATTTTGATTCTTATTGTGGAAATTAATTTGAAAAATTGCAAAATGAGTTGAATATGCAGAACTAATCGTAGCTATCAAGTTTATCTCTTCCACTTTCACTTTTATTTTATTTTTTGTAATATTAGCATTATAATGCAAGCAGAATAGTAGTGCAAAACAAGACGTCATGTAAAGTTTTTTTTAAACATCGTAATAAAATTTTGCAATTTAAAAATGCTGAATTTTGAAAGCATCCCTCGAAGAGTAATGAAGTGCATAACTTTTGTTTCTATTGGCTTAAAGTGAAGTAAAGTTGATTCTATGGTCATTCTTCTAATTCCTTTTTTTCCTATTAATTTCAAAATGAAAAAAAAAAAATTCATAAGGAACTAGTTACAAAATTTTTTATAAAATAAGCAATTATTGCTAAAACTAGAGAAGAATAATTCTACATCATGTTTTATCAGCGCAAGATTGCAAAATAATCGTAAGAATTTGAAACCATAAAATCCTCTGACGACCTATTCATTTATTCTTGAAATTGTTGCATTTTTATTCTTTAACATAAAATATTCCAGCAATTATGGTGTCAAAGGTAGTGTTGGCATTTCATAATTTAGACTAGGCTTGCAAGTCCTTTTCCATTACCCAAAGAAGCCCAAAGAATACTACTAAATATATGGAAGAAAAAATTTCTGCAATTCATTTGTTTCATTAAAAGATTTACAATTTTTCTAATGATATTAGATTCTTTTTTTTTTTTGCTCAATGATTTTTTTACAAGCGATATTGCAACTGTTTTTTTTTTTCATACATTTAAATTATTTTTCATACATTTGAATTATTCCAATTTCTTAACATCAAAATATCTTTCGTTTTAGTAAATTACAAATTAATACCTTTTTAGTAAATTGCAATTTTTTTTGTTTAAAAAGAAATTTTACTCATGATCATGAGTATATCACAGCACAAAGAACCAAAAAATTTTGCGACCATTTGCTACAGGAATAAAGATTTTTTTTTTCTGCTTTTGGAAATTGAAAAAATACAAATGAGAAAAGGAAAAGGTCCTGAAACGGTTTCTCTTCAATTTCATTTCATATAAACCTTTTTACATCTACAGTATAGAGGTGTGTGTGTACAGAATAGTATAGATGTGTGTAGTGTATGTACATCCACATTATAGAGATGTATAAGTATAGAGGTTTATTAATTAATTGTAGGATTTTACAATTCAATTTTTTGTATTCCCAAAATATAAAGAGGATTTTTGATGTCGACAATAGTAGAGAAAGTGATTAGAACTAGTTACAACATATCTGTATAAATGATATGATTTATTATCAAAACCATTTGGAATTAAAACAAAAAAAAAAAAAAACTGGTCATTAGAGATTTCCTCAAATGGATTCTCAGAACTGACCAGAATTGATCATAGTTATTGAGCTGAAGGAACTTTTGCAACCGTTGTGATTATAAAAGTGATTTAAATCCATTTTCAACATTTTGATGTAAACTATTTCTTGCTATCAGCATTGAATATGTGCAATTTGCAATGAATTTTGCCTGATATTTTTGTAAGTAATGGCCTTCATTTTCAAAACAAACTGAAAAAGATCGATCTGTTTGGGCATACTGTTTCGGAATATAATCCAGCACTGACGGCATATTACTTCCTGTTGTTGATGAACAATTCTGAAAAAAAATTTTTTTAGTTAGCAATTTTTTTTTGCAATATTCTTTCCGGACGATCATGTATGTATGTATGTGTATATTTATTTCACATATTCTTGATACATATGGAAAAATCAAATGAATCAGTGCTATATTAGGAAGTGATCTTCTGTTTAATATTTGTTACTATCGAAGGAAAAATCTGTCATAATTGATAATTTCGGTAACTCTATATAAAAATACTAAGAAAAAAGAACTGATAAATGTCAAAAGTTATCAAACATAAATAATAGGCTTAATAATTACAAGAAATAAAAGTTACTGAATGACTGATGTTATGATTATCCTTCTAGAACTAATAGTTAATCCAAGTTATATCTCTCTCGCTCAAAAAAAAGTAGTAAACAGAAAGAAATAATTATGGAAAAAAAAGAGAGGTATATTTTACTAAAGCACTGCTTACCATATGGCTGATATTATCGAAAAGTGATGCAAACTGTTGACTGATTGATATTTCAATAAGATGATCCAACGCTGAGTAAGCAACCAAAACCTGCAAGGATATAAGTTAATCTGAATATGAATATAAAAATTGTGCAAATGTATCTGCCATAAAAAAGTATGGTGATTATAACTTTTGATATCAAATAAACAAGAGATCAAAAGAGAAGGAATTAAAATCCTAAACCTTAATAATTTCAAAATCATACTTTTGTTTTATTGTTATTCAACATATTGATATATCGCATTTGATCAGTCAGATCAATATTAGTTGTTAATTTAAGACAAATTGCAGCTTCATCACCATTTTTCACTTTCATTTTCAACATTTGAAATACTAAAAATAAAGCTGGAATGAAGAACAAAAAAGATCAAAAAATATGATTTTGGTAATTTTAAAAGATAATAAATTCTCAATTATAGTGAAATTACAAAATTTCTTAATATTTTGGGAAATGCTTATTGTGTAAATGGCAAGTATGACTCAATAATACATACTTCTATAAAATAAATATCTTAAAATAAAACGAAATATCTTGAATGTTTCCCAAAGCCATAATCCAAAAATGATCAACCAAGTGGGCTTAATGCTGTGATGAACCTTAATACCTATTGGATTAATTAGTGCAACACCTTTACACCGATCCTGAAAGCATCATTTAAAGTAAATAAAGAATTTTTGACAAGGTTCTAATTTTTTCTGATAATAATACGAAATTGAACTGTAATATTTTTTTTTTTTGATAATAAAATCGAAATTCAAGTGTTGCCTGCAGTATACAAAAAAAAAAAATGGATTCAACAACTGAAACAATTATTCATCTTTTACTTACTCATTTTACTACCAAGATCTAACCGGATTTCTTGCAGCCAATCGAAGAGCATTTTCCGTTCCTCTGCTATGGCCTAAGAATACAATATTATCACCAACATCCATCATATTGATAATTTTTTGAACAAATTGCATACGCTCCTCATTAGTATAATTTAATTCTTCATGGTCTACAAAACAGTTTTCTTTTTTCGGCAAAAAGAAAAGAAAAAATTCAAATATTTTATTTAATTTTTCATTTTATGCTGCAATTTCTTACTTTGATTTTGAACATTTAACTAATTATTCATATTATCATTGAAAATGAAAGAAAAACAGAAAGATGACAACACATTTCCGTTGTAATTAATGAACACTTTACAATTAATTAATCGCCATTAAATTAATCATAGTTAGAGTCTGTTCATGAATTACATTATAAAGTAATCGTATATTCAGTAATATTTTTTGAAGCCAAAAAGAATTTTTTGAAGCTATACGTGAAGTGTAGCCTTGGCCTGGAAAATTGATGCCTATAAAACGAATCCCATAACTGTGTAAATATGGCAAAATATATTTGAAATCATTATGTGAGCCTGGCGTACCGTGACAACCCACAACAGTTCCAATGCAGGATCCATCTGGAAGACAGTCCTGTAAATTATTAATACTTAATCAATCTGATATTATTATATGATCAATCAAAGATGTAGCATAAAAGTATTTCCGGTAAAAAAAATATTCAATGGAAAAAGTTTTATATTTATACAAAATATCATTATGTAATAAATAGAAATATAACTAAGTAATAAGCATCTTGAAAAAATTAAAAATTTATGGTATGATTAAAATAAGTAAAAAAAAAAGGAATGTCAAAAATAACCTGCACAATAGCATTCACATCAATTGATTTTCGATCAAAAAAATCAATTCGTATACGTAATGTTCGTAGCACTGATGGTACTCCTTCTAATTTCATAGGCAATTTTTGGTTGCCTATTGATCTTATAGTACTCATTGCTGGGTGAATAAAGTGGATGGTGACTAGACTTACGTTTGATAGAAAGAATTTGATTAAAAGATTGAGAAACTTAAAAAAAGAAAGAAAAAAAAAACAATTGATTTTAAGATAAAATGGGATATTTTTTTTAGAAATCAAATTTTTTCGCTAAAAACGAGAACTATTATTTGATGAACTGTCCATAAAAAATGTTATCCTTTTCTCAAAAAATTTTTTTAAACAACATCTAGGAACTTAAATAACATTCAACCATTCCATTTCTTTATCACACCTGTTTGTTAATATTATTGTTTACAACTATTATCATTTCCATTACTTTCAGACACCTTCCGAAAATGTCTTATCATTGATAACAGGAGAATAATTCTTCACAAAATAAACAATATACCAGTAGTAAATGGAACAACACATTTAATATTGTAATAAAATAAATGTAAGAAAAAAAAAGAAAAAAATGATATAAATGAATGAAATGTGAAGTAATTATGAGTATTTCAGATGAGAATGCATTCAAATCAGAGAGGAAATAACAAAAATTAATTAAATTAGTATCAAAGTATCTCTTTTCTTCGTTGCACTTCAATCTTTCCCACCCACTATTCGCATTTTTTGTGATGCCATAAACTTGCCACAAAGCTTAAAATTACATTCATTTATCACCCCACTTTTTCTCATTTTCACATTCAACATTCTTCTGCCATGAATAATAATAGATGTGATCCTACTTGAATGAATCGCTCTCTAATTCCAATCACCAATTTGTTTAATTTATCATAATAAGTATGCAATTAGCACTACTTTTGTGTTATTTTAATTCTAATGTAACCATTCTCTTTATTAAACCATAATAATAATAATTGTATTTATCATCTTCTTTTATTAGCTCAAAATAAATCGTTTCATTTATAACTGTGAAAATCATAAAACCAAATTTATTTTTGATTTTTTATTTTTTGAGACGGAAAAGGAAAATGAGATTAACACATGTAAAGTTTTACTGCTGACATACCAGCATGAAAGTAACAAACGATAACGATGAGTTAAATGATGAAATTTAACAAATATTAAGTAATTTTATAACTGTAGCGAAATGAAGGATGAGTGAAAATAAGAGAAATCAAAAATGATAGTAACTGGAATAGAAAACTGATAGATTAGTGATAAAATGGAAATAGTAAATAGAATGGCGATGGTGATAGCTTGCTAAATTCATCAATATTTGAAGTAACATATTGGATGAGTTAGTTAATCAAGAGATTTGATTTGCTAATATCAATGACAAATTTGCTTACAATAAGAATAAGAAAAGAAAGACAAGGAATGATAATTATTTGGATCGAGAATCTTATCTAAATAGAAAAATTATTTAAATGGAAAATTTTAACTAGAGAAATTTGTTATATTTTCTTTCATTCTTAAAAAATATTCCAGAAATAATCATACAAGTAACAGAAAAGTAATTTGATCGATGAAATGTGTAGATAAGGTTTTGACGTCTCGAGATTGTCAGTGAGGGGATCATTTACTTATGGAAAGTCATAAATTGATTGTTGCGAAGATTGTTAAAGCAAAAAAAAAAAAAAAATACTAGCCAAAACCCAAAACGTTAAGTTAACCACTTATTACAAAATGAATAATTCTGTTTAATTTGCTGCGACTTTATTGCATAATTGCAATAATTTCGTTACTATTGAAATAAAAGTTTATTTTCCCAATAACTTTTTTAGATTTAAATGAATTAAAACTAATTATTTTAATGATTAATTCAAGCGTTAATTAGCTCTTCATAGAATTTCTATTCATTAAATTATAAAGATGGCATCGGGATCAAAATATGAAATCAGCTGCATTTATAACAAACAAAAGCATTCATCTATTTTGTATAACGTTTGAAAGAAAAACGTTAATATCAAACACTGGAAAATCAATGGCCACTGTTATAGATCTCGAAATAATAATGCTAATTTCAGAGATCAATTTTACAAATAATTACTACTACATCTTGAATTCCCACCCAAAAAAAAAAAAAAAAAAAAAAAAAAAAAAATTGAAACAAACACAGAAAAATTAAGATGCCTTATTATTTATTTTTGGATAAAATACATGGAAAAATGAACAGAGAACGAGTGAAAGAAATGAAATATTTGAAGTCATTGAGGACAAAACATGATAGTTGCAATTGGCGTAGCATTCAATCATTTATCATTTTAGTTTCACTAGCTGATACAGTGAAATTACTCATCATTGTTCTTATGATAAAAAAAGAAAAGATGACGAAGAGATATCAGTTAAAACAACTAAAAACTATTTCGTTGCTCTAAAAGTTCTTTATTAGTTCCAATAAAGAGTAATAATTACATCATTTTAGTGCTATTTTATCTGAAAAAAAAAAGTGAAACGAGTTGTAGAAAGAATTCTCGTGAAATCTTGTTAGTTTTCCAAAAAAATTTCAAAACGTATGCATTTTTTCCTTTTTCTCCTCAAATTATACATTTTCGAGTAACTGAATCATTAGTTAATTAGGCAGTTAATCAATTAACTAGTATGTTCTCATTAACAACAATTTGCAAGCAAACATTGTCTAATATTTTAATCGAACGGTTAAATGTTATTAATGTATACGTCAAAATGTATTTTCCATTTTATTTCAGAAATTTTTTCCTCCTTCTTTTTTTGTTTAATCATTCAAATTTTAAGTTTTTACAATATCAAATGACGGAATAAAGTAATATAATTAATTAGTAAAATAGTGACAGCTTAAAAAAAATAATAATGATAATTAATGCTGACAGTTAATGAATGGATATTCAAGTAATTGTTTGGGAAAAAGAAATGATTTCAGAAAAAATTAAAAGAAGTAATTCATTAAGACATACACATGTGACTCTAAGTATTGGCAAATATTGCACATGAAGTACTTGAAAGTTCTTTATTATTATTGCTGGAATAATAATTAACAAAAAAAAGAAGAAACAAGGAAGATTAATTCACTAAAATAACGAAACATCAAAACATTAACGGCAATGAGCCAATTCGAATTTTCCGTTTGCACTCAAAACCTTTTAATGGTTTTGTTTTGTTTTCTGTTGGTTTTCTTTCTTATCAGTTTTTTAGCTCTTTGTTAATTTTTATGTCATTTATTTCTACTTTTATTAAGGGTGGTCATACCTTTTGGTAGTTGGTTGCCTAAGATTATAGCTGCCCTACTCCTGTTAGTTGTTTAGTTCATAGTAGTACCTTAGCATCCATTATTCAATCTAATTTACTTCTTATACTAAACATCAGTGAATTACTTTCCCACCAAAATATTCATTACAAGCTTACATGAAATAGCTGGAAGAGTACCAGCAAGGAAACTTAAATAAACAAAATATGAAATAAGACATATATAAAAAAAATGCGACATGAGATGAAACTATATTTTAAACAAATTAGTAGTTATTCTTATCATTTGATAAAAAAATGATATGTTGAAAGATTAACAAGTAAAAAATGAATAAAAAAAAAACCATTGGCAATAATTTATCATCACTTCCAATACCGATTTGATGACTTTTTCAGACGTTTCAGTTGAAGCGAAAAATCGATATGCATGTTCCGTGGAATCCAAGTTCTTTCTTTCCCTTTTTTTTTTTTTTTTTTTTTTTTATGGTATAAAGTATATAATTTCTTGATCGCATAATTGAAAAAGTATTGCATTTACTTTCTTCCTCAATCATACCTGAAAAATTGTTTCTAAAATACGGACAAAGAGAAATGAGCGTTAGTGGATTTCTTCTCATTAGTAAGTGAAAAGAAATGGAACTCTCTTAGGTTCTATTCACTTAATAATACAAAAAATAACTTAAATGATAGATAGTAACTTTCTTATCATTAAAAAAAGTGAAATTCAAAAATTCACTTTTTAAGAAAAAAAAAAAAGAAATGAATCGTTTTCCTATATGCATTGATTATTTTATTGATTTCTAATAGAATCGTTATTTTAAGAGTGCAACTGAAGTGCTTATTGTCATATCTGTGGTAAAAGTTGAAACATAATTTTCCTTTCAAGCAAATAACAGATCTGAACAATAATTCAAAGAAGTTAACAAAAAGAAGTAACGTTTAATCATTTGTCTTCTTTCACTATAACGCAATTTTCAGTTAAGATAAGACTGATTTATGTATATGCAAGAGTCCACTTATAAAGTAATATTTAGAGCAAGAAATTCCAATCAGTGATAAGTTAAATTTTACTGCTTGTTCTGATATCTGATCTGATATTTGATTTTGACTGATTGCACTGGTATCTTAAGTGGCACATTCAATATAGATGATTCAATTATTACTTTTCATCTTTTATCATCTCGAAATCGACAAAATTTTTTTTTGCTCTTGCTAATGCTGTCATTAAGAAATTTTTAGTCGAAATTTCGAAATATAGCAAAATCGACACGAAATTGATATGACGCTGGAAGTGAATTGCGTAGATAGGCATGATATGATAAGGTCATTATGAAATTCTTTGATTAGAATTGATTACTGAAAACCAAAAAGTTCTGTAAAAGCTTAGTTTGTTACATAAACTGGCAAAGTTGAAATCTATGGATCAAAAATTTAAATATCAATTTTTTCGGTGGTTAAATGTTGCTTCGAAATCAAATGATCATTGTTAACTGTGATGAAATGGATTACAATTCCTTTCAATTCTAATTGATACAATTCCGCAATAAATCCGCAACATTTAGCTGATAATAAAAATTCTGATTGCTTTCATAATTTTTTTTTCGCGTTCTGGTTTGTTAGTAAGTAACAGATGTACAATAATGGTAGTTCATTATTTTTTGTGTTTGATTAAAGTTCATCCGAACTTGTTTTCCGTACTTCTGGCATTAATCCTGATGACTCAGCTTTTATGTTCATTATTGACATTTGTTCTGCAGAAATAGTTACTGCGGAAGTTTGGCACTGATATGCCTTTCTTAACATCTAGCAGAATGGTTCTCGTAAATATTTCTTTCTTTTTTTCATGCTGTAGTATTGGTGACAAACTTCATGGATGGTAATGACAAGAATGTTGTTTCGAGATTTGTACTTCATTAGTGCATATCCTTCTCTATCCCTCGCTTTTTATGTCCAATAATCTGTGTATCAGAAATACAATGGTGCTGGAAGGTTGAAGGTTAATAATTAATGTCGTCAACTCATTATCAACATCAGATTTGTGATTATTTGTTGATAATACTCTATCATTCTACTAGGTGAGGATATAATATTTCAATAGAAGTGAAATATGTAAAATACTCAATTGTAGTTTCATCTACTGTCGAAATATATGACATTGATTGGAGAGATATATTTTCATTATCTTAACAGATATTTAAATCTTAATAATTTTTTCTTTGTCTTAACAGATAACGCTAGTAAATATCACTGGTTTTTCCTGCTGTAATAGTGGAATGAAAGTAATTTGCTGATCGATTGTAAACAATGCAGTAGTTAGAGCAACATTAGTAGTTACATGATACAAATTTCTTTCTACTTTTTGGGCCTAATGTTGTGTCTAGAAAATGACTGCCCGATGAATTATTGTCGATGTAAAACTACTAACTATTTCAGATTTTGTAACTGAAGAACTTACCAATATTCTGGATGATACACATTCTGATTCGGTTACTGTCATCAATAGATCGGATGAAGTTACAGTTGAATTAATAATATCTTCGAATTCTATTTCGCCATGAATGGTACTCGTTCCAGTTTCATATTCATTGGTTGAAGCTGTTGAAGTAAGCAAATCTTCTGGTGTCGTAAAGTCCTTAGTTTGTAATGCTAAAAAAGTATTGCACCAAATTATGGAAATTTCTTACTTTTGATATAAAGTGTAGGTATAAATTTCTAGAACAGTGCGTAATACTTTGAAGATTGGAAAGTATTCAAAATTTGATGTATTGTAAAAGAAAAGAAAAAAAGGAAAAAAAATCAATTAACTTAGAAATACTGCGTATTCGGCATGTAGTTAATTGAATGAATGTTGTTTTCAACTTAAGGAAATATTCAAGTAATCATACTGGTAAGGATTCGAATAAGCATCTGAGTAATTACACTAACAAAAATTCTAATAAACATTTTCAATATAAATTTTGTTACATTATCGAAATTTTTACTAACCGTGTAAGATAGCTTCTATTAATTGATCGACATTCATTTGTGAAGAATATGCGCTCAAGGTGTCAATATTCTGGAAATATACTGGATTACCGATAATAATACGAGGCGAACTAATTGGATTCTCTTCTGCCATCTGTTTTAATAAATCTTTCGCAGACTTCATGTCATTCTTATACATTTTCCGGTTTCTGAAAATTAATGTTCCAAGTTTGAGACTTCATTAACCGATGTTGATTTGATTTCACAAATTTTTGAAATGATTTCAAAAATTGCTTATACATTTATTTGAGAGTGCAGATAAAGAAGAAACTTGTTACACCTGAATATTACCTAAAAGTAGTCTAACAAATAAAGGATAAAAATGATTAGGTTTAGTAGGAAAAATAATTCCATCCTTTTTTATTGAGAATAAATAATGATTAGACCTGTACATAGCCACATCCGGAACAAATATTATGTTTGTAATTCGTGATGACCATGGAATTTTACGAAATGATTCAATTGCTCTAAAATTTTTATATTTTGATAAGCATTTAAATGAAAGACTAAAATTTTCGAAATTCAAAAAATTTCAATTATATAGTTGAGGACTTATTCATTTCTATTGCAAAACAAAGAAACAAAAAAAATATAAAGTATGATTACTTCGTAACACTAATGTCACTATTCGACTTCACATCATGAAAAATGTTTTCTAATTCACAAATAACTTCCGTCTTCGATAGCAATTTGCTAAAAGTTGTTTTATCATTGATTTCTTCGATGACATATGTTGCACAAGGATTATCGTTCCTTTCTATTACTTTCTCAACAATTGTTAATATTTTATCCTGAAGATAAAAAAATCTATTTCACTTCAATTCTTTCTATTTTTTATTCATTCTAATTCAGTTTCATACCATTTTACTTATGTTTTAATAATATTTTAACGCTGTATAATATTACCCTGTATAACATTCCTTCAGTTTTATTCTGTTTACCTTCAGCTGTACTTACTGTTAGAACGATAGTTTCGGCAGGTATTATCTTTGTGTTTTCTATTCTGCTTGTTGTTGCCTCTAAAATTAAAGTTTATTTCTATATTAATAGGTATAAATGACTTCACCCTTTTCAATATTTTCAAAATTTCATTCAACAGATTCTAAACAGAATGACGAAAATGAATTGTAGAAAAGTAACTTGAAATTGTGATATCAAAATATATTCCAGTGATATTATGTTAGTGATAACTACTCTTAGTGATATTATCATCTTTTTTATTGATCATTCTTATAAATTAGAAACTAAAGAATTGAAATTTCGACCAGTTTCATTGTCGTCTGAATGATGATGACTGCTTTTAATTATTATTAGTGTAACCGGTACAACAATGGTAGCAATTACAATAAGTAATAATGTGCAGGCAAATAAGATCCATTTTTTTTGACCACTATAGTCCACAATGTACACTTTCCTTGCCATGCACTTTCTTTAATTTTAATCCAATTAATGGTGCTGTAATCGAGTATTAAATACTTTAATTCCAATAGTCCCAATTTCACACAAAATCTGCTAATGCTAATAACATAACCATTAAATTACGCAAAAATTCCGCGTTGTAAGCATTTAGTTCTAAATGTAATTGTGTGTCGAATATATTATTACTGACATATTAATTTTTAACCCATTTTTATGTTTTTCCACTTGGAATGGAGAATGGAAAAAAGAATGGAGCCAGTAATTCTCTCTCTCTGATGTAATAAATTTAATCATTTTCTTTTAAAAATTTAAAGTTGAAAACAGTATGTATGGTTGTGTACTATTAAATAGCTAAATAAGAAAGATAAATTTTTATTTTTTTATTCTTCGAAATTTCTCTTTCATTTATATATTTGCAACTTATTTACAAAGCTATTAATGGTTTAATGGTTTAAGCTTTTTTCAAGTGATATCACTGAATTAATAATATCGACATAAAACCTGAAACTGTTATGTCAGCTAGTCTGAAAGTTTTAAAATTAATGAAGTAATTGTGCAGTTAAATAAAATCAGACTAACACTTTTTATATAACTAAGAATAACGAATAATAATATAAAGCATTTTGAGTGATTATTGCAAAATAACTGATCACATTTGGCATGTCGAAAAGTTTTCATAACTTAACCGATCCATCAATTTACTGATAAGGCTGATAATTGTTCGAGACAAATCAACATTCCCTAATTTATTATTCATTATTGCTTACAGCTTATTCACAAAACAGTTAAGTGATATGATTTAATTTAAATTAAATGTTATTTTTAAATTAGCACATATATCAGCGATACATTTCAATCCATACCGTAAAAATCTCTGCGTAACATAAATTAATTATTTGCCTTATCTGAAATTTAAATGCAATTGCTATTACCAGATCATCACAAGAAACTTAAAGTAGAAATACAAATTTAAATTTGGAAGAATCGAAATGATTGCGACCCTCACTACATGCCATATATTGATGAATTTCGAGCAACACTAGCACAGTATTAATTTCAACAAAAAAAAAAAAAAAAAAAAAAAAAAAACTCGTCCCACTTCAATAAAATATCCATTTTGTTGTTTTTCATAGCGCTAGCAATTAATTACTCGAATACTACTTCATACCTTTCTAATATTATCACCAGCATTTGCAATAAAATGTTTGTTTACCTTTCTTTCGATTTTATTATTTCCAAAATTTTTTGACTTTCAGTCGGATCAACAGCAACATACAATAATTATTGCTACCCAAAACTGGATAATGATGCATCTATTTTGAATTAGTGATGGTAAATAGACATCCAGAAATGAGCTGGAAATTTAATTTCATGCTAACTTTTAAATTGTTCATTTAATCGGTCAACCAGGTAAGATTCAATGATTTTAATAGCTTTTTTTATTAATAATTAATTGTCACTTAGTAAGTAATTTCATCTCAGAGATACCACCATTTTGAATATGAACCAATCGAATTAATTACTTAATTCCAACTTCAAATTTTCCACTTTTATCTGTTTGATAGCGTTTATTGAAATGTTTCCATCATTATGTAGCACTAGAAAATAACAATAATGCAAATTTTAGAGAAAATATTAATTCAAAAACTATTATTAAGCAACTGAAATATATACCGAATATGTCTACGTTATTAATGTCATGATCATATTTTGCATATAAAAGTATTAAACTGAAATACTTACTACGTCTTTCAATATAAGAATCTTTTTTGGCAAAATTTGCGATAACCAAAATAGTGAAGATCAAAGATTAAAATGATTCGATATTAGTTTGAACATTTCGATAATATTTAGCACCCGTTATAATAATGTTCATATTGTAAAGGAAGGGAAAGAAAATTAAAAATCAAAAAATTTGTATACGTCTGCTCGCTAAACTGATTACATGAAATGTAAAAATATATGTTTACATAAATATAATAATACAACGACCGCAGATAGTGCTACTTTACTAACAGATAAATTTTGCTGTAAACAGTTTTGTTGCTTTCATTTACTAATAAATGAGCAAAGTCCTTCCCATTGTGTTTCCAATGTATTTATATTGTCGATATAGTGCTTAAAGTTAGAAATTTTCAAACTCCTTCTTGGTTTTCTCGAATTTATCATACGACTAAGAATCAAAAAATGAGCTTTCTATGAATTATTAATCATAATTTATTTTGTATAACATATTTTGCATTCAGCACCACGCATAACATGCCAACAAATTAGTTTTACTAACGAAATAGTGTAAACAGGATTCCACAATTCATAAAAACCGAATATATCCAATCCGCACATCTAAATCGGACTGACGGCTATATAATAGTAACTAATAACAGTAGTAACAAATAATAATTTAATAATTAAAGAAAACAGTAATATTAGTTATGATAGTAAATAATAGCGAATAACAAATAACTGAGCAATAAATAATAAGTAATAAATCATTGATAAATAATGTTTTATTTGCATTGCACATGATCTGCTCAGATCCCCGTGATCGTTTGAAAAAAAAAAAAAAAAACTCTATAAGATTTCACTTTGGAACAATATCTACAACTATTCGATTGCATGTAGCTGGATGTGGTCATCAACACATGCAACAACAACAGTTGTGAAACCCATCTAATTTCCCACTAGACTGCAAATTTGTACTAGTCGGAATCCAATAATAAATAAATCTAGAATGATAGCAGCAACTATTAGTTACACAATTTTTGCTTTGAATATTAAAAAAATATTAAGAAAAAGACTAATAATCATATTGATTGCTAGCAATGAATCGAGAATTTTATTATCGGGAAATGATTATGGCATAAAAATGCATATAACAGATATGCAACGGCATTTTTCTCGTAGAAGAAACGAAGAAGAGAAAGAAATTCATATAACAATAGAGACATAAGCATGGTCTTTCTGTAACGCGTTATTATAAAGTTGAAAATAATGGACAGAGACAGAAGCTGATTACATAAAAGCTAACAACTTTATACAAAGAAATTCAAATGATAATAGAGACAATTACCAAATCACAGATGAATTTGGTTTTGGATCCATAAAGAAATAACAAACATTATTATAGTATTTAAATCTCTTAATTCCTTAAGAAATTTTGCATAACATTCAAAAAATATCTTTTGGCAAATCAAGAAAAAAAGACTATCAATTAAAATAAATCAGTATGATTTATCATAGCGCAAACAATCTTAGCAACAAAGTTTTTACCTCGAAAGCACGAAAATCTAAACTAACAAAACCTTCACACTGATTTCCTATCGCTGAATCATCAGTTTCAATGGGTAAAGAAGAGATTGTTCTTTCCAGACCATCACCCAAATCAACAGAAACAATACGACTATGGTTAATTCTAAGTTTTACACTAACACCACCACCGAATGATTCAAATAAGCGGATAACCAATGTATTGACATCATCCTCGGCTGGTTTCACAGTGTCAATAACAACACCTATAAGTAGGTGATGGCATGTATAGTTACAATTATAAATACTTCATATATTTCAGTTCTTTTTTTTTTTTTTTTAGCAACTATAGTCTCAAATTAAATTACTCGGTAGCACAATTCACTAGCTATTCTGTAACTCTGTGAGCATAATGGTTTAATAATAGTTTAATGAGACAGAGCATAAGAAATTTACGCTGTAACAATGAGTAAATTTTGTCCGTAATTCTATTAAAAAAAACAAATGAAGAGAACAAATAGTTAGGAAATCATATATTTGATTAATCCATATAAAGTCTAACCAATTAACCTAATAAAAAAGATAATTATTTCAAAAAGGAATGAACAAACCATCACTTCCATCGATTTTGAGAAATGATGAAAGCTTGTTGTTAGCATACCAACCATTAACAAAACGAGTAGGATTATTAAATTCGTAAGCCGCTCTCATGACGCTCAAATTCAAGTCATTACAAGGCTGTTGTATTGAACCGATGAAAGGATACAATGCATACGAAAACTAAAAATAATAAAAAACTGTAATTAAAAAACCTTCAAATAAAGCGCGCCAATCCCACAAATTAAATAAGTTCTGTTAATCAACGAAAACCATACATACCAAATTATTCTAACTGATAAGATTTTGTGCTGATGTCTGTCGCAGAATTAAAACATTTGAGGCTTAATTAAAAAATTAATTAATTTAGACTTATCTATGCTAAAATCCCAAGTTAAAAAGTAAATTAATTTAAACTTACCTATGTTACATGAGAAGTTATGTTTACAAAAAGTTACAAAGTTCAGATTTTTTCGCTTCACTCCACATTTCTGTACATCACAATTTATATTCACAAAATCAAATATCATAAACAGCTGAAAAAAGACAAAAAATACTCTATGCTCTCCCATATCAGCAGTATCATCCGGAACTTTACTTGCTCGAAGCAAAGACAACGTCATGGTATTGCCAGTACACGAATGGCCGTATTTGCAATTGTTTAAAAGAGCAATGCCACGACCGAATTCAGTCAGAGCCATCCATTTATGTCCAACAACTTCATATCTCAAATATTTGGAAATAAATGCAATATACAAATCTTTATTAATTTGTTTCATATTGCCTTCAAAAACAGCAACACTGAAGCATGTTATCTTTTTGTTTCAAAATCAAAACCGAGAGAGAGAGAGAGAGAGTTTGAGAAGAGAGAATTTGATTGAGAGAGAGAGAGAGAAAATTTTGAGAAGAGAAGAAAAATTTTCTCTCTAAAATTGAGAATTTGACCTAAACCACCACACTCATCTATGATGCTCTCTTGTACATCCTATAATGCAAATTTCCTGCATGATAATCCATCATTATGTTGATACTTCTTAAATTGTTTTGAATGACTTCGAAGTTTTTATGCTTCATTAGCAAAATCAACTGGTAGTCAAGTCTAGAAATTTAATAAAATACTATATAACGAAAGGATGGAGACAGTGTTAAATATTCGTGAC